ATGTTTTCAAAATTCCAACCATTGCTAAAGTATATGCTGCACACTGGTTTCCTATTGGCAATGAATTGTTGATTCCATCCGTTGTTGGGCCTACTGTAATTCCGGATGCTCAGTTGGTACGTGCAAAAGGAAGACCAAAGTCTTCAAGGATTCAGAATGAGATGGATTGGGTTGAGTCTCAACCCTCTAGCAGTCAGAGCAGATGTAAGCATTGCAAGCAAGTTGGACATAACATTCGTACATGTCCATTGAGACTAAGACAAGCATGATTACGTATTGTTTTTGTGTAGTACTTTGTTTTGTAATGACAATCACTTTACGTATTGTTTTGTTTCCTTGTACCCTAAACTTTATCTTGTATTAGTTATGTATTGTGTTGTTGAAATGTATTGTTGAACTGTATTCTTGTGTTGTTGAAATGTATTGTTGAAATGTATCCGTTAAGTTTAGCGAGTCACTCGTTCCGTATTGTGCAATCCGAATGTCTACCATACCCATTTACCCCTTCCCCGAGTCAGTTAAGGTTATTGTATTACACATCAATTACCAAGATGCTAACAAAATGGATTGAACAGCACCTGCTGCTGCATCTGCAACTGGTCTACCCGGGTAACTCGTAATGATATACCCGAGTACATCCTACCCGGGTAGACCAGTTGCAGATGCTGTTGCAGATGCTGTTTTGGCAATTTTTGTTGCATTTTGGTAATTGTTGTGCAATACCTACATACGGTATGACTTGGGGGTGGATTGATTTCGTAGAAATAGGATGCAGTAATCAAGATGTGCGCCAATCAAAGTTGAACATGAATATTAAAGTACTTTGGATTGAATTGATTTCCAAATTAATTATGACAATATTAATGCAAGGTCCCATACTAATGCATAGAACCAACAAGTCTGAACGTGCGCAAAACGAAAATTTCATTCATTCAAATTTTGAACATCCAGTACAAAAACATCCATGCAATGTAGGTAAAGTTCCTAAATGTACCAAAATGACTACATTACATCAAACTAAATCAATGATATGAAACCCTATGGACACACTAATCCGATGTCGTGTCCTCCCCATTCTCTTCATCCGATTGTGTGTCATCCCCATTGTCATCATCCTCCTCCTCCTCCTCCTGAGTATGGGCACCCTCGCCAATTAAACCCTCCAAGCGTGAAACCCTTGTGTCCAACCGTGCAACCCTTGTGTCCATCTGGTTTCGCCACTTGCTCGTGCTCTGTCTATATCCTCTAAAGTCAGTAGTCAGATCATATAAGGATGCCATGACATGATCAAGTGTCCATCCACCCTCAGGAGGAGCTGGTGGTCGCCGACTGCGGGTGGGACGTGTCGGTCTGACATCAACCTCAGCAACGCCATCATCATCGTCATCATCATCAAGGCCTACATCATAAACCATGAAAAACAAACTTCAATACCACATTAAAAATTAAACAACACAAAATTGCATAAACTCATAAAGACCAACACATCACCTGCAGGTGCATCCTCCATCTCAGCATCGTGGTGGAATGGGATCTCAGGTGGTTCTGGTGCCTTCTTCCACCTCCAGATACCCGCTCTGTTCGGTAGGATCCCACACTGCTTCAGGAGCCTCTCACCAAATATAGCATTCCAGCCTCTGGCGGTCTTCAAGGTCTCTGTTGCCATAGGCACTCCAAATCTATGCAGAATCTTCTGCACCAGAAATGCAAAAGGCAATTCAGCCTTCTTTGACTTGGCTGCCTTCCACATCAGTATGCATATGTAATGCCTCCAGTTCACCTGCTGACTGTGAAGGAGGGCCCACAGGATGACAAAGTCCCCTTCCAGCAACTTTGAGTGATTATGCGGGCGCTGGAAAATAATATGTGTCACCACATAATGAAGAATGCGAGCAGAAACTGACAAGTTGCTAACAGGATAATGAGCAAAATGACCGGGCTCAGCGTCTGCCCTCCTAGTCTCTGTAACAATGGTCTCCCGGTTATAATCACCAAATATATGATGGCTGTCTCCATCATATAGTGCTGCTCCTGTGACACCATCAAAATCGAACCCCAGTAGCTCCGTCCAGATAGGAGCAGTCATGATGATATCAATCCCGCAGACACGGGAAGTCAGCTCGCCTTGCGAGTAGCCAAGGTTCTGGTAGAAGGCTCTTACCATAACCTCCGAGTATGGGCACCGCATCTCCGCCAGGTGAAGTAAATGTGTCTGCTCAAGAAGCGGCACGATGTCAAAACGCTCTAGGTTGAAGAATGCCGAATCCAGTGATTTCGGTTCGCAGATCTTCCGGGTCATGAAAAACTTCACGAACTTCTCGTGTGAAGGAATGTCATCCTCAAACAAATATCCGAACGTCAAGTCCGGAGCCTGACTCGAAGCAGCCTGGGGCTGAGAGGATGACGACCCATCGTGACGACTCTTGGTTCTTCTCTCGGAATGGGTCACTGGCAGCTTTGAAACGCGTCGAGAGGTCATTGTGTCACACTATTAAACTGAAAAAATAACCAAAATCAGAAATTAGATACATGTTAGGGTTAGGGTTAGGGTTAGGGTTAGGGTTAGATTCAGGGTTAGGGTTAGGGTTAGGGTAAGCGTATGACATACAAATTGATAAAATAATTCGGACAGAATCAAATGATATAAACGAAAATACAATGAATCAGAACATAAATCATAACATAATTGAAAAAACTGAAAAAAAATGCACCTTTGATCGATTTCAATCGGTAGAAGGCAGAGAGGTTGCAAGGTCCGCGAATGATGATCACAAACAAGACGAATTAGTGCAAGATTATGCCTGAAATCGCTCAAGATGACACTCCTCCAGCAGCTCTACTCGGGTACCCCTTTTGTGGGTTTTCGAAATGGGGCTGCTGGGGTATTTTAAAACCCTACCGTCGATGTTTACCCGGGTACACTGCTCCGTACCCGGGTAAATAATTCAAACATTTTCCCAGATTCAAGAACTCTACCCGGGTACACCCCTACATACTCGGGTAGATAAAAAGTTTCAAAATTTACCCGGGTAGGTAATGGTGTACCCGGGTAGGCTTCGTGGTCAACGGTCAAACAGGGGCAGATTGGTGTTATGTTTGTTGGGAAGGGTAAATTTTCGAAATAGTTTTGAATGAGGGGCAATTTGGTAATTAATTATTAATTAAGGGGCATAAGGGTCAAAAAGCCCTACTTTTCCCCTTCTTTACTTTATTTACTGAATGGAATAAGTAAAGTTGAATTCATATATAAACAAAATAACCAAGGTCTAATTCCCTATAATTAATAATGTCAAACATGATGAAGGATATTCTTATTACCAAATTTTTTTACTACTAACTTACTACTTATCTAATCACCATTGAATCAAAGAGAGAGAATGTTAAAATTTTTTTGAAAAAAGAGAAAATGTTGATCCAATGGTTATTAGATAGGTAGTGAGTTGATAGTAGAAGATTTTGGTAGTAAGAATATCCCTCCTCGTCAAACATAAAATAAGCAAAGTAATAATGACAAGCAACCATCTGTTTGAAAGGAGCCCCGGAATTATCTATATCATTACTATATTTTAATGCTACTGAAAAGTTGAAAAATGCATAAACATTGGCCAAATCCTAATTCATTTGGGGCAGATTTTATATCTCAGAACCAATCTCTTTGACTTGGTTTTGGTTCTTCTGAAAGTGCAAAAGATTACAAGTCCATTATCCATTTAAAAAAAGAAAGAAAAATAAAAACTGTGTCTGGCCTGTTGTCCTCTTCTTGTTTTTGTTTTTTTTCCTTTTCTTTTTAATAATCATCAAGAGGTTACATATCCTTCAAGTGGATGCTGAGTCTGTGACAAAGAGGACAAGTGGATAACAACTTGGTATATGAAGTCAATGAAAAAATAGATCACAAAGTTTTCACAAAATGTGCATTATAAAATTTGTTCTCAAGGGATTAGGATTACAATTCCTCCTGACAGCTTGACTCAAATAGGAAGAAAGGTCGGATTTGCATTTTATATTCAATTCCGTAAAAATAAAACTATTATAGGACATAATTATATGGTGGGCTTTGGAAGCCTCAAGCCCAAAGAAGTAAGAGCAAAATTGCATGTAAAAATTAACGAGTGAATTACTTTCTCCCTCTCTCCGATAACCCCATGCTTAAATACTCAATTTGACTTTAGTCAAAGAATAATTTGGAGTTAGGTGCAGAAGGAGGAGTCCGGATTATCATCAATGGACTAAAGCTAGCTTAATCACATCAAGTGAATGTGGCATTATGTCTCAACTTAAAATTTAAGATATTTGATTTATGTGTCCTCTCCCTTAACTGTATTTCATTTAATCCATTATCAACCAATATAAGATTCTATAGCATTTAAATAACCTGTTACGATCTGATAGATCGTGAATGTCCAATCAGAGATTGGTAATTTAATATTGGATCTGTTTACCCTCTCTCAGATATCTATAGGACAAGTACCCTAAAGATAAGCGGATCACTGTGCATTATAATATAACGACATAATCAAGGCGTGGGGTGTGTGCACAGTGACAAGTTAAGAGAGAGAGTTTTGAGTGTGTGTACCTTATTGGTTTAACCCTTTATTTATATATGGGTTACCTGGCAGGAGCGAATTTTTGGGCTTTTTAGGAGTAGTGGGGGTCCAGTTGTTGATCCATTGCTGTCGTAGTAGGATTAACATAATTAAGGAATATTTTCTTAATTCTCTCTTAACTGTTAGTCCTATTTGAGCCTTCTAAAATGTAGGTCTTTTTCACGTCATAACATAACCCAACAATCACAAACATTTATAAAATTATTAGGTTAATTTTAAGATTTTTTAAAAAAAAAAAAATTAATAAGGGCGTTTATATGAGCACCCTCATTTGCTAACGCCACCTCAGAACATAGGCCCGTTTGCCCACTATAAGTAAGTATTTCCTACTATGCCGTTGCTCATACTTATCGTCCCTTCTCTCTCACAGTACCTTCAGTCAATCAAATATTCTCACATTTCATGCTCTCTTACTGTGCTTGACGACAGCGCTCCCAAGCTATTTAAAGGGGTGTGAGTTCGGATTCTCTTTTCTCCGCTCTTGCATTATTCTTAATTTTAATCCCTTCCTGTTGTTATTTCCCTTCGTTTTGTTATCTATAGGCCACGAATCAATCTTCATGTACGTTTTCTACTGATTTGGCGATTGGCATTTGAGTTATATTGGTTTGGATTTTTTATTATGCTTTAATCTATATGTTTCTTTTAATAGAGTTCTTCTGTATTATTGTTTGAAAGCAGCAGTTTCAAGTCTTTGGTGACCATATCCGCAACTACTCCCAAAAAATTGTTCCCCAGTATATTGGAGAAATTTTAAGGTATATATATATATTGTTTTCTCTAATTTTCTCGTCTCTACATAAGAATTGTTTCCTGATGATCGTTAATAAACGGTTTGAAATTATCATGTTGAAAAAAACAATCGATTAATTTGTTGCGCAGAAGCGTGAATGTTGAAATGGAGAGTAGTAGATCCTTACAATACGAAGTTCCCCTTGGCTACAGCATTGAAGACGTTCGTCCCAACGGTGGCATTGAGAAGTTCCAATCTCCTGCTTACTCCAAAGTAACTTCACTTTAATTCCAATTCTAAGTTCGAATTTGAACCCAATGCCCTTATATTTTATTTTATTTAATTACTACTGTCTCTTTTATTTTTGTGCAGTGCATGAGACAGCCATCGTGATATACTTATTTTTCCCCATCATTTTCTCCTTATTAAATCTTGTATTGTAATATTCACATAAATAGTAGTATTGGAGAGGTTTGGATATCATATACAGTGCCATGGCTGTGATCGAGAACCAAGCACAGTCTCCGATTGGATTCGAAGGGTTTGAGAAGCGCATCGAGATTTCATTCCGCGAGCCACTAATTTTCAAGGACCCTCAAGGAGTAAACCTACGGTCCCTGACTCGGTCTCAGCTAAACTCTATTCTGGAACCCGCGTGTTGCACCATTGTTTCTCACTTCTCCAATGCCGAATTGGACTCTTACGTGGTCTCTGAATCAAGCCTCTTCGTCTACCCTTTCAAAATCATACTCAAAACTTGCGGCACCACCAAGTTGTTACTCTCAATCAACCCTATTCTCCACCTCGCAGCCTCTCTCTCACTCTCTGTTCTCGCCGTTAAGTATTCACGCGGGACTTTTCTTTTCCCAAATTACCAGTTTGCCCCTCACCGATGTTTCTCTGATGAAGTTGCCGTGCTAAATGACCATTTTCCCCATCTCCATGCCAAGCCTTCTGTAATCGGCGATCCTGCAAATCCAAATCGCAACTGGCACATTTACTCGGCATGCAGAGTGGATGCCACGTCACATGATGTGCGCACTACTACTACCACTACTAATAATGTGGAGATGTGCATGACTGGATTGGACCGCGACAAGGCGCGAGTGTTTTTCAAGGAATCGGGAGGTGGCAAAATGACCGAAATGTCCGGGATGTCGGAGATTATTCCGAGTCACGTGATCTGCGACTTCGAGTTTGATCCGTGCGGGTACTCGATGAATGGAATCGAGGGTGCGGCGTTTTCAACCGTGCACGTGACCCCCGAAGATGGGTTAAGTTATGCTAGCTATGAAGCGGAGGGGTTTGACCCTGAGTCAATTGGTTTTGGGCCACTCGTGAGCAGGGTTTTGAGGTGCTTCCGTCCCACTGAATTCTCTATTGCTGTCACGTGCAAGGCAGGTGCCGAGGGTTGGGCCATGTGGGATGCTGACGTGGAGGGGTATTATTGCGAGAGTGTGGTGAAGCAGGAGCGGCCAGGGAAGGTGTGCATAGTATACCGAACGTACTCTCCTAAGGGGAGAGGGTGCGCAGTGCGCATGCCCAAGAAAGCCACCATCAAGTGCTGCAAGGAGATGGAGATGGAGATGGTGATGTTGTCGGAGGAGGTGGTAGTTTCTGCTTAGCGTTTTTGTTTCAGACAAATGTCGTTTTGACCATTTTGCTCAAATGCTTTTGGGGTTTTTTAAGGTTTGAAACATCAGTCCTTCTAATATCACAATGATTTTATTAATAATGAAATGTAATGGATCATTTGTGTGTTACGATTTAGATTGGATTTTCAAATGATTGAGGCTTCGCATGGATTAACGTTTTATTACTAGTGTAAAAGAATGTTTATTAATAATTTTATAATATTATTTAATAATAAATAATGTTACACCGTGATGATCATTGCACGTTATCACATCACTGATGACAAATTATAAAGTGAGGGTGAATATAACCTTCTAACCAATTTTTCAACATGAATTAATTGTAATGGATTAAAAAGGCTGGTCGTGATACGTATATATGAAAGCATCTATTCTTTATGGTATAATTTGGTTTAGCAAATTAGGAATTTAGAGCAACATTAATGTAGGATACTGGCGTGTATGGTCGCGTCTAAATTGGCTTGGACAAAATTAGGCCGAAGTTTATGTGTTTTGTTAAGAAGATAATATTTTTTTAAAAAAATATGGAATGAAGATGTTAGTTATGATAAAGTCAGAAATAAAATATCCAATCCTAAATGAAAGGAGACGTGTGGTTTTGGTAAATATATATTTATTTTTTTTGGTTACAGGTAAATATTTGTAATAGTATGAATATATATCGAATTTAGACACCAATTTATTAAATGGGGGAAATTTGAAGGGACATAAAAAGAATAAAAAAAAAAGTAAGGGTTAAACTGAAGAAAAAGAAATTACCAGTCTTAATAAATGGGTATACCGAATTCGATACATTGGATATATCAAAAATTTGCTCTTAGTTTTGATGCATGTAACTTGGAAGGATATATATATATTTAAATAAATTATGAATATCTTTTACGGGAGAAAATTTTATTTGGGACAGTCTATAATTGAGGATTTAAATCTCTCTAAAAAATAATACCAAATAGGATCGAATATAAACTTTCTAATGTTATCTTTGAGATAAATTTAAAATCTTAATCTCAATGTATATTCCCTTTAGTCTCTGAACACTTTGGATATTACCTCAGTCCATTGGTTTAGACACACTGCACCTTAATGTACAATTAAATAACCTTGCGAAATTTTGACTGTTTCAATACTGTTTCAAAAATAATCATTTTCTGTTATCCAAAAAAAAAATAAAAAAAATCATTTTAATTTTTTTTAAAAAAAACTGTTTAATAAGGTTTATTTTGAAAATTGTAACTATTTTTAATTTTTTAAATCAAATTAAGAAAATATGTTATTTTTATTTTGTATTTTCATTTTTAATTAAAAAAATATAAAAAACACTTACTTTCCTAACTATTTTCCAAAACAATTTTAATTAAAAAAACAGTTAACAATCAAAGAAATCCAATTTTCGATGTTGCCGTAAATGGTGCGTGAGAGCAAACTTTCCTTACAATACACCCTGATTAAATAAAGAAAGTTTTTGTGACATAGAAGAAATATATATATAAAAAAAACAAAGGTTAAAATTAAAAAAAAAAACAAAGGTTAAAATTAAAAAAATATTCATTTTAACAAATGGGTGTACATCCCTAGTATTAAAAAATTTCCGGTGACTGCACTGTTCCTGTTTAGCTTTTCTAGGCTGCTACTTATTTTCATATTGCTTTTTTTTTTTGGAGAATTATTTTTCATATTGCTTTAGATAAGCCAGATGTATCTTGTCCAATGATAGAGCATCATAGATTTAATAAAGTGGACGTGCTTGATTATTATTTTTCCCTTCTTAATTTGGATGCCCCGATACAAATAATATATTCGACTGCTGAGCAGAAACAAAATATTTAATTAACATTTAAGAAAATAATAAGTAATTCGAGTTTTGGCTATTAATTTTTCAGCACCCTACAGATTTTTGTGCTGCTGCTTTTCATCACAACTTGTTCAAATTAAAACAACGAAATCTTCTTGAAAAATTGGATATATATACCATGTTATATAACAGAGACTTAATTCTTTCATTTTCTGAGGTACATGGAGGCAAAGCATTAGCCGAAAATGTTGATAATGTACTAGTTACAAGTTAGCTTTCTTTTAGATACAACACACTTTGATCTTAGCCAAAAGGTGGAGAAAGGAATAGCTTTCTTAATTCTTGTGTAGTTGCAAATTGCGTCTCCCCTGCGTAATGATCTTCTGCTTTAACATTACACTTCCCAGTGTTCTAAAATGTATATGGTTACTTGCTGTGTAGATTTATTGATCTTTAATATTAGGGAAATACTACTCTCATTTTACATGAGGTAGTTATCTCATGTTGTCTCACATCAAAAATCTCACCCACTTTTTTCTTTTTTCTTTTTTATCTTTTAATGATGGGTCCCACATGATTTCTCTCTGTAACATGAGAGAGCTACTCTCATGTAAAATGAGAGTAACATTCCCCTTAATATTATTAAGTTCGCCTTGTAGTTTTACGCTTTAATCAGTTACGGCCACAATGAAAGGAATTTCGACTATTGGTAGACTTGTCTCATGCCACAGCCCAGCCTTGTGCAGTCCACTTAACTCTGCATTTTTGGTGTTTGCCTTTCCTCTGGGTGGTGTTAAAATTCTTCTGGCACCCACCTGCAGTTTTTTGATAGAAGATTTACTTGCTGAGCCTTTCTGCACTCTATATTAACTCTAAGAAGCATGCCTAATTTGCAAAGTATAATCTTAGGAGGAGTTCAAATTAGAGAAAACTATCGTCCACAAATTAAATGGACCTAAGCAATGCACCTTCAACAAGGGTTTCGATATTATATCTCAACTTAAAACTTTAAACACGGAGTTCATGGATCGTCCTATTTGTATGGACTTCATTTATGTCATTACTAATTAATATGTAATTTTAATATATTTGAATATCTCAACAATCTCGTAAGAAATCTACGTTGATATACCCCCAAGTTCCCAACACGGCAACACCTCCCAACCAATTAATCAGGTAAGTTTTTTTTTTCTTTTCTGAAAGTGATGTTGCCTCACCAGACTCCAAATTTCAAACTTGCCAAGACAACATGTATTGCAAGTCGAAAATGGAAACAAAAGTAGAAGCAGGGGACAAGCTCATTATGAAGACTATGTACAAAGTACATTTAAATTTGCTATCGATGGGATCGTACGAACGACCCTACCTATTTGTTTGCTCACAATCAAACAGTGCTAATTTAATAAGTCACAAAAGGTTAAAATAGTTACATAGTTATCTATTTAGTGTAAATTCACGGGTTGCTGGAACTCACTCCTATTTCTGATTTCTTTTCGAACCGAAAGTATTCGAGTAAATTCTTACCAAAAACAAAAGTTTTCGTGTTAATAACATTGTAAAGTTATCAATAGAATAGAACTTTCCCATGATAATGAGATGAAATCAGATTGGTTACGCCTTGTTCAGTTTCACATTAAACTCTCCTTATAGTAATTGAAGTTGTGGCATAAAAAGCAGTCTACTATTATAGTTCATTTTCTTTTCCTTTAAAGAAGGGCAACTTAAAGAAAACCCATCTACAATTCAGTTTTTGCTTCTCATCAAGACCAAAATGTAATAGAGTTAGTCAAAATAAATAAATATGGTTTAATAAAATTCTTAGGATCCATCGTGAAAATAAGTAACTTCCGAGGAAGAAGCGTATTCTATTTTCTTTTATCTTTAGGGGACGTTTGGTTGAGGAGAAATTTTTTAAATACTAGAGAAATGTAATTGATAGGGAAATCTAATTGATAGAGAAATGGTTAGAAAATGAGTTTGGTAAAAAAAAGTTGTTTGGTTGGAAAAAATTTTACCGGACATATTAAATAAGATTTATAAAGTCTATGTTTAGTTTGAGGTAAAATATAAATGAGAAAATAAGTGACAATTACGAAAATATCCTTACTTTTTAAAATATAAAATTCTAACGTAAAAAAATAATAAAAATATAAAAATATTAAGAATTTTAATAAAATTATTTTAATGAAAAAAATATTATAAAAATATAAAATCATAATAATGAGTTAAAAAAAAGTTCACAATCAAAGCGACTTAACGAAGGCGCCGAAGGATCGATCCGCGAGTGAGAGTCTGAAAGAATGGACCACATGGGCGATGAGGAAAGCTAAGGTCATCACCCACTATGGCTTATGAAAGAATTGGACAGAGATTGGCTTATGAGAGGGTGGCTTATAAGAGGGTATAATGGACCATGATATTTTGTCAAAAAGTAGTTAGTCGGCTATTTTTCAGAAAACCACCTCCCACATCAGTTTCTAAACATTGACAAAGCCTAGCAATCTGAGACCAAATGACAAAATGCTATGCAAATGGGATGGCTGGGGAAGGTGAGTAAATCTGTATATCAAACAAGTGCAAAGTGGATTGCTTTGTTGATTTGCATGGGGAAATTAAAAAAATCCCTCAACCAAACACCACCTAATAGAGGTGTTTGGTTCAAGACTTTGGGATAATTTTCTATGCATATGATATTGGCAATCTATGACATCCATGTTTGATACATAGTTTCAAAATATTTATCCATTGTATTTGCATAGCAATTTAGAAAAGGTCATGAAAGGCAAGCATAATTCAATGTTGAGAAAGACAAGTTGGACATGGTATTATGCATTTAGCTGGCTAAATGAAAACATGGACAGCAAAAAATAGACCAAAATTATTATGAGGTTACTTTTGTGTTGTGTTGTCATGTGCATGGCCATTTGTTTTAATATTAAAAAATTATTATGAGATTACTTTTGTAATTTTATACCATTTACCCATCAATATTTTATCTTGGACCAAACATAGATTTCAAAAACTTTAATCAATTTGTCTAGTAATATTTGACCTAACCAAATAAATTTTTAATTTTTTTTTATCTAACTCACTTTTTTTACAGATCCCTGATAATTATATTTTTCTGATAAATTTTTTTTTTCACGTAAACCAAACTTCTCCTTGTTGCTTTCAACGGTGCTATGCGCATCCATACTTTCACGTGCATACTAAAAACTAAAGGATTGAAAAAA